TCTGCCTGCCGCCCCGCTGTTTTGTCCACACAGAGGAGCAGACATGCTCACTCCATCGATATTCTTTAATCAAACGCTGCGATGCCGATTTGACTGGGCAAACGCTCATATTCCTACTTTTCTGTCCTTTCTTCTTGGCCTCCCTTTTCTGCGAAACACACTCTGTGCATCTCAGAGTTGTGAAAGTGTTCATTGAGAATCTCGAAATCTCAGAGACCCGACGGCTTAGGCTTGGGAGCACCAGGGCAGAGCCAGGGGTTGGGGAGGTCCCCCCTCTCAGACTCGAAGACACTACTGGTGGAGAGGGTCACCCTAAGTGCGTGGCTTAAATCTTGCCCTTCGTGGCCAGGCAGGAGGGTATTGTCCAGGGTGGCAGGCATCTGTCCCTCCTGCAGCAGTTAATAGTGCCAGTGCAGGGGTGGGTGGAAGGCCTCCAGGAAGAGGAACAGGGCACGAGCTCACCCGATGCCCTAATCCCTCCTTGCAGCGGTGTTGAAGGCCGAGCAGGCGGCGGTGTTTAAGTTCCCGCTGGCGCCACTAGGCTGTTCTGGGCTGGGCTCCGCGCTGCTGGCTGCGGGGCCTGGGCTGCCCGGCACTGCCGGCACTCCGCACCTGCCGCTGGAGCTGCAGCTCCGTGGGAAGCTGGACACTCCGGGCGCCGGGGAGCCGGGCACCAAAGCCAAGAAAGGGCGTCGGAGCCGCACTGTGTTCACCGAGCTGCAGCTGATGGGCCTAGAAAAACGCTTCGAGAAACAGAAGTACCTCTCCACACCGGACAGGTAGCTCGGGACCAGGCTGAGTCCAGCGGGTGGTTGGGGAGGGAGGCCGCTTGCCCTGCTGAGAGTGCACCCCGCTCTTTCCAGAATAGATCTTGCTGAATCCCTGGGCCTGAGCCAGTTGCAGGTGAAGACATGGTACCAGAATCGAAGGATGAAGTGGAAGAAAATAGTGAGTGTGTGGTGGTTCCTGCCTCCTAGGTTGCAGTCAGGCCCCTGGGCTCTTCAAGAGTTGCTCTCCTCTCCAAGGTCACCCCTGCCCGTTGTCCATTGTGAGCCTCTCTGCTTTCTCTGTTCCTCTGGGTATCCTTGCCCGGCCCACATTCCTTTGTGCCCCGCTGCACCCTCCGGCTTCCTAGCAGCCTTATACCCCTGGTCCAGCCTCTGGTCACTTTCCCCCAGCCAAGCTCAAATGGCCGCCATTTCCCCAGGGCTAGGCGTGCCTCGGAAGGCTTGTTAGGCCCTTCAGGCCCTTCCAGGCACAGGGTGCGTGGGTCCCCATTTCCCAGTCCCTGCTCACGGGTGCCGGTGTCCCTGCTAGGTGCTGCAGGGAGGTGGCCTGGAGTCCCCAACCAAGCCTAAGGGGCGGCCCAAAAAGAACTCCATCCCTACCAGCGAGCAGCTCACGGAGCAGGAACGCGCCAAGGAGGCAGAGAAGCCGGCGGAGGCTCCGGGTGAGGCTAGCGACAGGGGTCACGAGGACTGAGCGTAGCGGAAGGTGCGGTCTGGGAACCCAGACCGCGAGAAACCGAGAGCCGGCCCATCGCGTCCGCGTCCACGCTGTTTGCTTCCTAAACGTTTTATTACCTTGAATGCGGACAGTTAGGGGCCAAACAAGGAAAGACACAGAACCTGAAGTCAAACCCAGGCCCCAGCGCGCTCCCGGCCTTAGCCTGGAGACTTGCCCTGGAGGCAAGAAGGTCGCAGCCTCCCAGAGCTCCGCGCACTGGGTGCTCCACGCGCATTCACATCCCACTCCATTACTGCACCCCACCCGTCTCGGGTGGCCGGGACGCCGCAGGCACACACCCGCTTTTGCGCGTCAGGGACCCACTAGCCGTGAAGGCCACCGTGGCCAGAGACCGTGTTCGGACTACCTGGTGGCTCGGCCCTGAGGCCAGTTCCCCAACGTCGCTGGGGCCCCTACCCCTCTCTTGCGAAGACGTTGTTTTGTTCGATTTTGTTTTTTTCCAATAAAATATTTTATGACACAGCGGGGATTAATGGGCGGTTTCTGAATCCACAGGGTGAGGCAGCAAAGTAAAAGGGACACTTTCAGTGGCTTCTGAAACATTCCTTCCTAGGACCAGGAGGAAGTGAGCCCGGACCTGCGCCACCCTGCCCAGGCTGAGCATGGCGGTGGTTCCGGCTGCAAGATCCCCGGAATCGCTTCCACTCTGGAGGGCTAATTTGAACTGCCCAGCCCAGGGCACGCAGGCGGTAGCAGCCGGGCTACACGGGTCGCCCAAAGGACTGGGAGCTCCGGGCCACCGTGGGCCTCACTCAGGAAGTGGTTAGGGACTGAGAATTGCCTCCGGTTGTTGATTCGGTCTCCTGGAACTTGAAGGATAGACTGTGATGGTTCCAGTCAACCCTTTCTGAGGCCAACAGCAGCCGAGGACTCAAAGGAAGTCCAGCACAGAGGCTGCCAGCAGCGGTAGTCCCAACCCAGTGGCGCTTGCCTCCCAGAATTTTCCCGTTCTCTGCGGCATACGCAGGGCGGCGGCATTGGCCGCCCAGCCTCGGGCATGGGGGCAGGGAGGACTTCTGACCTGAGCAGAGTGCTCTGAGCTGCCCGAACTCGCACAGGGCGCCCGGGCACAGCTCGGTGGCGTGTGTCCGCGGGTGCGCCCTGCCCACGGGAAGCCTTTGGTTTTCTCTCTAGACTGGGTTAGGGGATCTCCTGTGTTGGGGGGGGGGGCGGTGGGGAACGGGGGGGCTCCTGTCCTCACTCTCCCAGCCAAGATGACGACCACAGTATGAGATCGAGAGATGTCCACTTTGCTGATTAAAGCTGGGGGAGAGACCCCCAACTTGGCCATGGAGCATCATGATTTAAAACCAGGTTTGCAGGTGCAAATAGGCGGGAATCAGGAACCTCATGCTCAGGTGAAGGCTTTTCGTTTCAGAATGTGAAAAGGACTGCTATGGCTTACACTTGTGGTGGCTACCACTTCCTTTTCAAATCATGGCTTGATTGACCCTTCTTGAGATCTGGGCTTGAATTTGTGGTGCCACAGCATGTCTAGTTTCAATTTAAGGCCAGGAGGAATGAGAAACAGGGTGCTTCCTGGGGGCCGCAGGGATTCTCCTAGGCCATCACCCTCCCCACCCCCACTTCCGCCAGGTCTCCAGGAAACCAGCTTCACTGGAGGCTCTTAATTCATCCTTGCAAACAGCTCTTAGACTACTCTTGGGCCAGCATCACCTGAGGGGCCCAAGAAAACCTGTGAGACCCAAGCAGGAGGGAAGGAGTGAATCTTCGGTTTAGGACTGTGACCCTAACCCCTTCCCGCCTTTAGGGTTACCTCGGATTCAACTCAATGTAGGGATTTTCAGAGAACCTTCTTGCACCAGGCCCAGACTAGCCAAGTGAGGCACACTGCTGCACTTAATCCTCTCCCCTGCAAAGAAGAGGGAAGTGAAGGTCCTACAAATTCTGTCCTGGGTGGGCCCTGGGGACCGAGATTCCAGCTACAGCATTTGTCAACCATGCAGAGTTGTGGAAGGAAGGAGGGTGGAAGGAGAGAGGAAGGGTTCTGACCCAGACTCCCAGCAGTCATTCTGGGTCCTCAGATTTTACTAAATCTGAGGAATGTGACCCTAGGCAGATTGCCCTGAGGATCTTGGACTTTCCCCAAGGCAGTCTCCTCACTGAATAGGACGAATGGGCCACCAGGGATGAAGAAGTGTCCAGCGAATCTGGCGTAAGAGAATAGGGGCCCCAATATTCCATTGAGTACGGCCCAGCCAGGCATGGATAGGGAATCTGACACAGACATGACTGTCCCGAAGTCACCAGCCAGTCAGTGGGGGAGTTGGGCCACAGACGAGAGGGTCTAGATTCCGGTGCAATTGGGGGTGCGAGAGGTTTCTGTCACTGCCTGTACCGATGTGCTCCTTGGGGACCAAAAATGGGGCAACCGCGCACACAGAGTCCTCAAGGGCAGGGAGAGGAGTGACCAAGCGCCGGCCCGTCCAGGCGGCTTGGGGTTTTCTTGCTGGAGACCCCAAGAGACCCAACAGACGCTCCGGCCCGTTCCGGGGAGTACGAAGGCACGGAGACCAACGATGTGCCGCCGATGCCGAGATCCGGCGATCGGGCCCAAGCCCGTATAACTGCAGTTCTAAGTACAGAGATGCCTCCCATCCACGGAGGTGATGCAGTGCGCACGGTCTGCGTGCCACCAGCCGAGGCTACCCAGGCCACCAGCGCAGAGGCCCCCTCTTCGCCCGGCGGCAACCGCTCCCTTCGATCTAGGCTCTGGGCTTAGGGGAGCGAAGGTCCCCTCTCCTCCTCCCCTCTACTCCTGTAGTTCAAATCTCTTCTCCGCTCCAAGGTCCTGGGAAACCGAACCCTGAGACGGCGCAAGCGAACGAGCGAACGAGATCACCGCTGTGCCTTGCTTCGGGATCCCGGGGACCCATGGCCGGGAAGGAAGCGGGCTCAGGCGTCTCGCGAGAGCTTGGGCCCCGGGGTGGGAGTGGGGGGTGGGGTCAGCACTGGGGGCCGCCAACACCCTCCGCACGCGAAGGGCCCGTGTGGCGCGAGGTCTGAGCGCTGGGATTACCGTGGCGGCAGCGCTCAACACACGCTAAATTTGCACTTCTGTTCCTCAGGGGAGGGCGGTGGGCCGTAAGGGAAATTTTGGGGGAGAGTCGGCTGAAGGGCCGGAATGGGGGATTGCATCCCGCCTCTGTGCCCCAGACCCTGAGCAAGTCGGTGGAAGCGGGAGCCTACCTCTAGCGCCGCTCCACTGGGGCCAGCACACGGGAAGGTTTGGAGAGAGGCGGGCCTGAGCGGCGGGCCTGGGGTCTGAAGTCCGTCTCAGAGTCTCCGACTTGTGGCTGGTTCCGCACGGAGCGGGCACCGCCAGGACGTGATAGGCGCAGCCGGAGCGGAGGCTCCCATTCCTCCCCTTGCCATCCCATTTGGTAAAAAATAAAGATTACTCTGATTTACTGTTCTGATTTCTGTTCCAGATTCTCTTGGAGTTCACCAGTGGGAACCTATGAGGTAGAAGGAGAGAAACGCAGCCCCAGGCTATGTTAACCCTGTATCCTGGAGCAGAGCATTCTCTCTTACAGTACCTACAGAGAGACTGAGGCTTCCAATAGTGCGGGCCTCTCAACCTGGGGTGAACACCACTTCCCGGTATGCTCCAGGAGCTCTGGGATCTGAAGAAAAACCTGACACCTCTTCCATTTTCCGTTGCCCCACTGCCTGACTTCGTTTCTACTCTAGAGGGGAGCCTCTGACCAAGAAGTGACATCCTGGATTCTGCCTCGAGTTTCCGTGTCCAAAGAGGGGACCAGTTAGTCTCCAGAACCTCTATCCCCAAGGCCTCTCCAGGCCCAGGTTCCCAGGGGCCAAAGCCAGGCTAAGGAGGCCCACAGACCCCTGCTGGCCCTCCAGCCTGGCTCAAGCTCTCCCAGCTGAAGGAGACTTCTCAAACACCACCTCCCCAGTCCAGACCCACTTTAAGGATATAAGGAAGCTGTGCTGGTGGGCAAGGCAGAAAGGTGACTGCAGCAATAGAGCCTTGCACACTGAGTCAGCCTAGCTCTGGGCCAAGCTTCCCGCCACCCTGGTCCCTGAGCACCTCTGCCTGCATAGATAGGGAGAAGGTGGGTTCACCTTCTATATGAAATAAGGCCTTATGGAGGCATCTGACCTAGCAGGGACTTCCTTCCTGGCCCCTCTCCCTAATGTTGAGCAGGCCTCTCACTGCATGACTTCAAAATTTCCCTTTGTTCTAGTTCTCACACTGTACATCATTGGCTTTAAAACGGCATCTTCCCCTTTCTGAAATCTGGGTTCATATAACAATTGGGGAGGTGGAGTCCCAGGTGCTATGGGCTCTGGGCCTGCAAGATGTGACTTTCTCTGAGGCAGGTGTCCTGGGCTGGACTGGGTGGCCCTTTGCCACTCACACACCAGCCTTGATGAAAAAAGCCAAGAAGCCTGCATAGTGGGGGGTGGGAGGATGTGGGCTCTCCCCAAGAATACATGGGGCAGCAGAATGAGGGGAACTTGGCTGGTTCATCTTCAAGTTAGTGACCACATGGGTGGGTTGGGGCTGTGGGCTATGAGAGGAGATCCATTCAGAGGCAGCTGTGACCTTGAAGAAGTTTTAGGAACATCTCAACCTACTGATTTCCATGATAGTTTCCTTTTTGTGTAAACACGGCAGTAGTTTGTGATAAAAATCTTTGTCTTTATAGGCTCAAAAGAGATCTTTGAATAAGTGTAAGATAAAAATTCTGGGTGATATATAAGCTTTGGATCATGGCTTCATCGGCAATGTTTTTAATTTTTTTTTTTCTTTCATGTGTTTCAGGAAGTAACGGTGTCTGACATCAGTGGCATCATGGACTCTCTGATATCAATCAAGCACTTACTGGGGCCATTCATTCATTTAACAAGCAGTTACTGGCCCTTCCCCCCTTTTTGATCCAATGACAGCCAGTAAAGTAGGTGCCCTACTCCCATTTCCCAAATGAAGATAAAACTCAGAGATGTTAGGCTACTTGTCCAGGGAAACATAGCTATTAGTGGCAGAATTTGAGTCTGACTTCAGTTCTGTGGGTCTCCACTGCCCCTCATCTAGCAGCCCTGAGGTTCTCCTTGGGGTATCCCAGATGCCTTAGGGTTCCCAATGGCCTCTGCCTGCCTGGAATCCATTTGTTCACCACATATTTATTAAATGTTTGCCGTGCACCAGGCACTGCACCAGACATGGGGGAAACAGCCTCTGACCCAAGGAGCTCACATTGGAGATGAGGAAGCTTGGGTAGATGGCAAAGAAGCCACAATTAAATCCGCACTATGATTTCAGGAAGTGACGAATGCCATGTAGAAAATAAAGCTGGTGCTAGACAATGAGTGGTTGGAAGCTTGAGTCAGGTAGTCAGGAAGGGCCTCTCAGGAGCTGACTCTTCAATTGAAACCAGAATGACAAGAGTGTTGCTAAGTAGCAAGCATAGCACGTG